CAGCATTACAGTCAACACATAGAACACCCGACTCGACTCACATAGGAGGCTTCAACCACCAAGAAATACGTAGTGATGCAACAGCACGATAACGAGCATAATTGTAACCATTTCTGCCTGGGAGATGCTAGCTCCCTAGGTAGCGGTTGAACTTGGCTAATAGACATACATTAGATACAGATGAGGACAAGCTAAAGAGCTATCAAATGGAGGAGAGTTTTGACAGTAATGAGCTGTGTGATTTCTACGATAAATAATACGTGAGTTAAAAAAAAAAAAAAAAAAATACCCTTGCTTTTAGCGTAATAGGGCATACTAAACCCATTTTTTATATTTATACCCAATCATGGGTTACAGACAGGCCGATGTGAGGTATTATTATTTCCAAAATTTCCAGTCTCGTAAAGAGTATTTTTTATCTGTTGTGGGTCCGGTGTGCTCACTGTGCGGTTTGCGCTCTATTTTCTGAGATAAAACGGTAGCCGACCGATGAATAGCAGCCGAGCTGGCAGGTCAACTTGCTGGCCCTAGGACTGCCATTGTTTCCTGACTGAGTGAGTACTGGCCAACAGGAGATTGACCCCACTGGGTTCAGTTCTGACATACTGTTACATTTGACTTTACTACTAAAATTCTGTCGGCTCTGTGACTAAGTCGATGCGAACGCTTCGTAATGCCGGGATGCCGGGTTCGCTCCCAGCTGCTGACCATGCGCCTTGCGTTGGTTTCGACAGTGGTATCAAGAAAGCCGAACGTCCAGATAGCAGTGGCAAACTACTGGACGTAAAATGTGCCTAGGAAAAACCACGCAACAGCCAGGGGCTGTTGGGGTTGGTTCTGCAACGTCCTGTAAAGGATACACAACTAACCTAAGCTAACTAAAATTCTAAACATCTCTGTCGTAGGTACTGTTGTGGTTCTTCTGCTTCTTCTTGAACTCCATACCAAATACTTTGGTAGTCATGTCTTTTCCACAACCTTCTGTCTCGTGTACTTTAAATCAACTCTGTCCTGTTGCTCCATCTCATTCTCCAACATATGATCACATACTGATTGAATACCTTTCACGTTGCTCCATCTCATTCTCCAACATATGATCACATACTGATTGAATACCTTTCCCGTTGCTCCATCTCATTCTCCAACATATGATCACATACTGATTGAATACCTTTCCTGTTGCTCCATCTCTCATTCTCCAACATATGATCACATACTGATTGAATACCTTTCCTGTTGCTCCATCTCTCATTCTCCAACATATGATCACATACTGATTGAATACCTTTCCTGTTGCTCCATCTCTCATTCTCTCACATATCATCGCATACTGATTGAATACCTTCCCTGTTGCTTCATCTCTCATTCTCACATATATGATAGCATACTGATTAAATACCTTTCCTGTTGCTCCATCTCTCATTCTCCCATATATGATCGCATACTTAATGAATACCTTTCCTGTTGCTCCATCTTTCATTCTCCCACATAATCACATATTGGTTTCATTCCTTACCTTTTTCTCCATCGCTTATTAACCCACATGCTCATATAATAGTTTAATTAATTTCCTGTTTCTTAATCTGTCATTCACATACACGATCATATAATGGTTTAATTAATTTTCGGTCACATTATCTCTCATTCCCACACATGATCATATAATGGTTTAATTAATTTATGTCACTCAGTGTCCCATTCACACATACTGGTTTTATTCCTTTCCTGTCACTTCATCTCTCATTCGCACACATGATCATAAAAAGGTTTAATTAATTTTCTGTCTTTAAATGTCTCATTCACGCATACTGGTTTCATTCCTTTCCTGTCACTTCATCTTTCATTCACACACAGGTTCACACAATGCTTTAATTCCTTTCCAAGTATGAATTCTCTCCTTCAAACAAGTGATCAAACTTGTTTGAGTCTTGTCCTGTTACTTCACCTTTCACTCACACAGATGATCAGTCACATTGTGGTTTAATTCCCGTGCTGGTGTCTGAGCCGTATTGGCAGGGGAACTTGGGAGGAGGAGAATAGACCTACTGATCCCCAAAGAAGCATCTAATTATTGCTTTGCTGAGATTGGATGTGTTGGACGGGAAACTGCAGATATCGTAGTTTTGCTGACATCTATAAAACAACATGCTATTTCCCGTTCAGTGCCGAAAGGAGAAAAGGCGATATTGCTTTAATCAAGACATCCTGAGATTCATTTGTTCTAACTTTCACTCGTCAAGACACCCTGAGATCCAATTGTTCTAACTTTCACTCGTCAAGACATCCTGAGATCCAATTGTTCTAACTTTCACATTCTAACTTTCCACCCTAAACTTTCACCCGTCAAGACACCCTGATCCATCAAAATTGTTTCAAATTTCACTCAAAACACCTGAGAAATAGCGGCGTTAATGCAAGAGTCAGTTTTCACCAACAATCTTCTTAAAGTCACAAATTCTCAGTAATTCTTGACAGTATCCATCAAAATTGTTTCAAATTTCACTCAAAATTGAGAAAGCGGCGTTAATGCAAAGAGGTGGGGTTATCGGTTGTCCAGAGCGCCGACTCTGGGGCTGAAAACTGTGCATCCCTCTTCAGTAATGGACACAGATTTATTTAATAATAAAACTCCTAACCGACACAGTTGTTGGCGATAGGACTAGGCATGCGTGCCTTAATCACATGGCTTTCGACCCCCATTACCTACACCGCTCTAAAAGTAAACACAGGCAACAAAGTTCAATAACTATCACACTGGCGTTTCGGCTCAACAGTCATGTAGTCTTCAAAGTAAGGATTATTATTATTATTATTCATCTTCAGAATTCGGAGCCCTTGAGGTTCATTGTTGCTTTGCCTGCATTCATCTCTCAGGTTGGCCTTCTCTTTCCAGCTGATGACACCAAGTGACTTCAGGTTCGTCTGGACATTACCCCACATACGTCTTGTTGGTCAGCCTCGCGATCTACGACCATTCAGCTCCCTTGTGTACGCAGGGTTTACCTCCCTGTCATCTGACATACTCTCAATATCCCCTAGCCATTTCAGTCTATTAGTCTTCATGATGCCAGTGATCAGTGGTGACTTTATGAATTTCGTTGTTACTTCTCACACTCTAATCCCAGCTGTTTGCATATTTTATGGGTTCAAAGATTTGTTGTAAGACTGTTTTCGAAAATGTGGAATAAGGCTTCATTTCTTTTATTTGTCTATAAATATATGTACCCAGCACCATACACCACTACACCTCAAATCGTCGAAAGGCGTCCTATTTCGCTTACAGTACTTTCAGAATGTATTTCTATGTCTAACACTATTGGATTCAGTGTGTGTAGCCGCTCTATTGATTCCACTATCCGCTACTCAATGTCAATCTAATTTTGTATCTGTAGTTCTCTCTGGTTTTTGGTACATCGTTATCTTACCCTCGGTGTGGGTCGATCAATCCCTGTCGATTGTAGACTTCATCTAACACCGGCTTCTCATTCTCGCGGGGCTCTCTTGTTTCTAGTCATCTTTTTCTTATTCGATGGTCTGGTCTCATTGTTATTGTCCCTCTTGCTCCTGTTCTCCCACATCCCCGTCTCACGATCCTCTACATTGTCACAGTCCTGTATTTGCATCATATGTTTTACACAATAGTAGAGGTAGAATTGTACAATAAACATTTATGAAGATCTTCGCAGACAGCATCACAATGATATCAGGTATTAGTTGTCAACAAGGGTGTTCAGTACTGTCTCGCAGTTCTGTTTTCAATGATTATATTTTTAACCTCCTCATAACTATCATGAGCACTACCATCGGTTTTTCTCCTTATCGACATTAAAACTTGTTTTTTAAATTAAAAATTTACAGATTTTAATTTTAAAACTCACGTTGGATCCTGGTTACATTAAAAAGAAAAAAAAAACCTGTTCATGTTGCAATGGAGCTACTTAAGATTTCCTGTTTTGCTTTAGCTGTCAGTTATATTAGCTTATTAAACTCGCGTAGTTATTTTCTTAAGTATATCGTTACAGGACAATAGTTTTTCATATTATGCCACAAGTTTATTTGAGATGAAAATATGGTCTCATTTTTATCCTACTGCAAGAACATTGCACATTGCTCATTGTCCACGTTTGTGTTTTCTGTGGCATGTTAACTAAAATATTATGCGGCCTTTGTCATTTCTAGTGTCTTAGGTATGTTTGTAGATACTTATGTTTTTTCGAAGTTGCTAACGGTATATTTGGTCTTTTCTTGTTATCATCCTAAAGTTTTATATTCAATTTTTTCTATCGTCATTTCCACCCTAAAGTTGAGCCTGGCCCCTTGAAGTGACAACAAGGCATCACTCAAGCATCAGTGTACTTGACGCATGACAGGCTAAATATCTGACACTTAGGCTTCACGGAAGGCAAGTCTGCTCGACAAGGGAAGTGCCTTCAACAAATCGGATGTGTCGACTCTTTTTCTTCTTCTTCTTCTTCACTTCCTCTTTTACCGCTGTGGGTGTCGAGGGAGATATAAGGTTCTGTTTCTAGCTCTTCTGGCTGCCTCGACCATAGGCACATCGTGCTGTTGTAGAGTTTCTCTGATGTTATCCTTCCATCTTGTTCTTGGTCTACCCCGTGCTCTACGTCCTTCTTCTCTTTCCATGTATGCTTTGTATGGTATGGTGTCACAAGGCATTCTCTCTAAGTGGGCAAACCATTTCACTTGCTGTCTTTGTATGTAATCCAGAATTGGTTCTGTGCCAACTTGTTCTCTTATGATCTCATTCCTGATCTTATCTCTTATGGTCACTCCTACAGCCCTTCTCAGACATCTCATTTCCGTGGTTACTAATTTTCTTTTATGGTTTGTTGTGAGTGACCATGTCTGGCACTGGTAGCACAGAGTTGGAATAAATATGCTTTGAATAAGATGTCTCTTTGTGCTGATTAGGATTGTCTTGATGTGTCGACTGCAAGATGCAAATATAGCAGCTGTGATGTAAACAAGGAAATGGTAACCATTCCCCCGCCCTCCTTCCCCCCTTTCGACACACCTAAAAAAAAAAAAAAGACTCACTAAGAATAAAGAAGTGGAATCGGAGCACACTTGTTTATCATCCATATGGATATGATGAGGCCGCTAACCAAGCAAACGGCCACAAGAAGGAGTGACATGAGCTGATATTTGCCGATGAGCATGTCTTGTTCCACAAAAA